CACTCGTACGCACAACTTAAGAACAAATCTGTGCGTACGAACGGTTCTCGCATGAGGCCCAATGTGCTTATATGGTAAATTTAATAAACACACAATTTTTAAAGTAATTAGTTGTTTTCATGTGTCAAAAACAACAACTTTTGATAGAATAAAGAAATAATGTAATGAGGCCAACATGTGAGATCCATTTAAGATAGCTAAACAGGAAATAAACTGAGACTAAAATAAAATAGATATCAGACCTTTTCCCGCAGACACTCCCCCAGGTTGTGAACGTAAAGAGTCATGGTTCTGTAAAACTTGAGCTGATTCTCTGAGGAACTTTCCTCCAGCAGCTCCAAGGAGGATTTAGCGTTCTCAGCGTCTCCCTCCATCCTCCTCAGCTCTGCCTGCCGTGCTCTGTGCACCTCCTTCAAAGAGTCCAGTCTGAGGAGAAAACACAGGAGAAAAGACAAAGGGCAAGAATGAAATGTGGCACTGAAGATTGGAAATGTGTTAAGATTATAAAAATGAATTTGAATTATTAAAAAAAGGAATATTTTCAACCATTACTTGAATATTTATCAGTAGTTCTACAGCAACGTTTTTATCAGTCTCAGATGAGCGGACAAAGTGATTTACTGTAATGTATATTTTTGTTTTAGTTATAAGTATATTAGAATAAAAATGTGCCTTCAATGATACCTATAAAAACATTTCAGCTGGTGGGAAAATATTTTGATACCTAAAAAGAAACCAGTTATTTGAAAAATTGTTATATTGAATATTATTGTTCTGACTTTAAATAATATTTTCTACGATAATTGAATTTTATGTACTGTATCTAATTTTTTAGACTTTAGATGTGGAATAAAAGTCAAGATAAATCCTCAATTGTCATTTTTTGAGGGTTATGAAGTGTACGGAATTGTCCTGAGAAATGCTATGTCTCAAAATTGTACAACAAACTTGTTATTTAAACAATATTAGGTCAAATATTTTGCAACGTTTCTTGCCAAAGTATTTTTTTCCTATAGTTTTGAATGTCAATGTTTTACATAATATTCTAAAGTTTTTATACTGTGGTGAAAATGTAAGCTACTAACTTTACAGTAATCCTTCTCTTTATCATCGAGACAGGAACAGGAGGATGAGTCTTTGGGACTTGGAGCTTTGTTGATCTCTTCTTGTGTGTTTCTCTGGCCCGCCTGCTGCTGCTGCTACTGGCCTCACTGCCTGATGGACTCTGATGAGAGAAGAAAATATTATGTATGTAGATTTACACACACAAGTTTGTATTTCTATCCTTATTAGGATTGTTCATTGACTAAGTAAGTAAGTAATGCTTCAATGTGACGCTTGTTTGTTTCTGTCTGTTTTCAAACCACTGCGTTGGTAGAGTTATTTATGCTAACTAGAAGATAATTTTTGAGGATAGCGGCCCTCGAGGACAGGAGTTTGACACCCCTGGCCTAGTGTTTTGCTACCTCAAGTTTGAAAGTAATCTGTGGCGACAAGGGGAATTGGTCCATTGAACCACTGCAAAGCAGGAAGGTACCATTAGACCCTTCTCCATAAAAAAAGCAGAGCATCAGTATGCCCACGGCTACAACGCTGGGCTGCTGCGGCGACAACACCTGATCTGCGGCTACAACACCTGAGGTGGGTCTCCATACCTGAACTACGGCTACAACGCTGGGCTGCTGCGGCGACAACACCTGATCTGCGGCTACAACACCTGAGGTGGGTCTCCATACCTGAGCTACGGCTACAACGCTGGGCTGCTGCGGCGACAACACCTGATCTGCGGCTACAACACCTGAGGTGGGTCTCCATACCTGAACTACGGCTACAACGCTGGGCTGCTGCGGCGACAACACCTGATCTGCGGCTACAACACCTGAGGTGGGTCTCCATACCTGAGCTACGGCTACAACGCTGGGCTGTTGTTGCTGAGTCAACGCCTAGCGGCTGTGACAACGCTGGTTTCCCACTATAATATCTGACTGGCAGCCACAACGCTGGGCAGCTGCTGCAACTACTGAGCTGGACCTC